GATAACATGTGTGTAAAAGGGCCTTGTGAAAAGAAAATGACAGTGAGGAAAAGAAATGTGTATCCACACAATTTTAGAGATGGTAGCCTTGCTTCACCTCAGTACTCGGATTAGAAAACATATGTGACCCATGGTCAAGGGGTGCCCCCAGTAGTTTCCAATTTCAGAGGCTAGAGGGATGTATTTTGATTTAAGGGCATGATATATAGAACAAGCTAGAACTAGAGTGAGGGGAAAGCCATTGTTGCATTCTGATACACTGATATGCCAGAAATACTCATTCCTTAGAAGGAAGTAGGTCCCAGTGTGCCTGTGTTCTGATCCCAACATCCACAATGAGTTGGAAATATCACCTAACTTCTCCAAGCAAACTGATAAGCTACTAAATGAAAGTTTCACAGTCTAAATTATTATATAAAATGTTGTAAGAATCTATTGCTTTGAAGGGATCATAATAAACAACATATTGTCACTACTTTTATAATTCAGGAGAACATTTTTTTTTTCCACTTTTCTTTCCTTCTACAAGTTTCTTGTGTGCACCAGAAGAGATTCTGGTGAAAGGCCCAAATGATAAGTAAAATCTACCTGACAGCCAACTCTCTGTGTCCCTGAGCCATACCATTTTTTTTTTTTTTTAATTGTGATTTGGGTGACGATTTACAGAGCAAATTCACTTTCCATACAGCAGTTCACATACACTTTATCTCATGACATTGACCACAGTTTACCAAAATGCAACAGCTCCCCTCCCACCTCCTCCCCATCGTTACCTCTTCCCAGTGTCCATCCCTCCATACACTCCTGCCCCCTGAGCTGTCTCCCTGTGCATAAGCAGCTCTTCTTTCTCCCATGATTGTTCTCTCCAAGGAGTGTATCTACTTGAGGTAAATGTTCAACTTATATGCCTATATTTTGTTTGGCTGGAAACCACAGTGTGGGTTCAATTCCAGACCCGAAGGGCAGCTAGGGGCCATAGTCTCAGTGGTTCCACCAAGCTCTATCGGACCAGCAAACCTGGTCCCCACCTTTTTTTTTTTTTTCTCCAAATGATTTTGAATTTTGTTCCACATTGTTCTCCCTCTCTATGCAGGATCTCCTACATAGATCCCCTTCCAAGTGGATGACAGTGGGAGCCAGGCACCATCTAGTTCTTCTGGTCTCATAGTCCTATAGGCTGCAGATCGGATGGTGTAGTAGTCACTAAGACTAATTATTTCCATGAATTTTGGTTTTCTTCATTCTTCTTTGCTCTGGAGGAGGAGAGACCCATCGTTGCATCTAGATGGCAGCTTGCTAGCTTTTAAGATCCCAGTCGCTACTCGCCAAAGTAGGAGGTGGAGCAATGTTTTGTATAGTAGAGCCATACCATTTTGAAAAGGCATTTTTGTTTTGTTTTTTTCTCATTTTCATCATGTGGTTGGCATACTCTATACTTGGTCATGTTTTTAACTTTCTAGAATTAAATGATGAAGAATTTAAGAATAGTTCTAGGAAATACAGTCAGTAACAAAAGTTGGGAATGCTCCTGGCATTAGAAATTAAGAGCTGTAACAAAACAAAATAAATCGTTTATTTCCACAAACCCATATGCCGATAATATAATGCATGTATTTTCCAAGAACTGGTTTTCCCAATCTCCAGGCTTACAAATTTCTATTTCCCAGAAAATCAGGCAGGAAAATAGAGGAAAAAATAAAAAGATTTGAATGATTCCCTCCAGCCAATACTGACAAAGAAAATTATATTAAAAGGAACCAAATGCAAACCAAGCTCACTGCCGTGGAGTTGCATCCGACTCATAGTAATCCCTCCTTGGGTTTCTGAGGTGGTATCACTACGGAAGGAGATTGCCCAATCTTCCTTCTGAGGAGTAGCTGGTGGGTTTGAACCTCCAGCCTTCTGGTTAGTAATCAGATGCCTCAGGTACTACGCTACCAGAGCTTCCATTAAAATGAAAGGAGATGTGTATATATACATACATATAACATCTGCTCTTCCGTTTGAGGATGTAAGGGACCTGGAAAGAAAGGAGAAAAGAAGAGGAGAGGGGAGACGGAGAAAGGAGTACAGGAAGGAGTAGAGGGACCCACAGAATTGAAGGGGGAAAGAAAAAAGCTCCACCAAAGGAAAAGCAAGGCAACTGCTCCCTGGCCCCGCCCAGCTCTTGCACCACACTGATGCCAACTGTGTGCCAGTTACCAAGCGGTGGAGCAGGACATCTGGGGCTTTTTGACACATCATTTCCTCCCATGAGATTCCCCCAGCATAATTTACACCCTGATCCTCCTGGGTTTCTCTTCACTACTGGTTCTTTTCTTTCTTTGTATGCATTCAGCATCAAATGTTGTACCTGAATAATTATGAGGCTTTCAATTTAAGGGAATCTCACCACAATTTCTGGGATTCAAGGAGCAAAGCTTAACAAGCCAGGGAAATAATTTATTTGAAGAAAAGAATCAATATTTCACACCATGTTTAGAGTGGTTTTGCAAGGAGCTGAAATCATTTATATGATAGGTATATCTTATCTTGGGTTTAGAAAAGAGTTGAAGGGGATGTTTGGCACTAGGAAGACCATAGAACTCACTGCCATTGAGTAGGATCCGACTCATAGTGACCCCACCTTGGGTTTCCGAGGCCGTATCTCTGCGGAAGTGGATTGCCCAATTTTCCTTCCAAGGAGTGGCTGTTGGGTTTGAACCTCCAGCCTTCTGGTTAGCAGTCAAATGCTTTAGGCACTACACGACCAGAGCTCCCAGGGAGACCATAGTTACTAGATAATAAATATACAGGAATACGCTCTGGGAGACAGGAGTGGGATGCTGTATTAGTGATGTGATGGTACATCACAGAAAACCCCAATGGTGAGGATTTAAGATGTTTAATTGGCTCTGACAAATAGGTTTGATAGCCCTAGTAAGAAGGTGGAGGTCAATACACTGAAAAATAAATCATGAAGCTCATGTGGAAAATAAATTACCCTACAACATTAATTCATTTCATTTTTAAAGTCAATTTTGTTTGTATGCAGTTGTGCTTTTTAAGTCCATCAGTACTTGTGTAATGGATGCATTTCTGAAGAATTGAGTGAAAATATGTCATGTATTCGATAAACATGAATGCCTAGTATATGCTAGATAGACATTTCATCATAAATCAACTTTGATTTTAAATTTACCAGAGACTTCATGATTTAAGCAATCTGTAGCATACTCTATTAGAAAACAAGAATTTCAATTATAATGTTTGTAATTCTAATGTAAAACTTCATTCATAAATATATATATATATATATACATATATATGTGTGTGTATATTGTTGTTGTTGTGTGCTGTAGAGTCAGACCCGACTCATAACGAACACTCCTTGGGTTTCCGAGGCAGTATCACTACAGAAGTAGATTGCCTCATCTTCCTTCTGAGGAGTGGCTGGTGGGTTTGAACCTCCAGCCTTCTGGTTAGCAGTCAAGTAACTTAGGCACTACGCTACCAGAGCTCCAGAGCTCCTATGTGTGTGTGTGTGTGTACACACACACACACACACATACATATATATAGTGCATTTAGAGCTTCTTGAAACCTTGTAGTAAAGCCTCACAATTTTAAAGGCTATTGATTAAACAGTTGGTATTCAATGCTGAACAGTTCATTTTTATATTCTCTGTAGGGGAAATAGTTTTAGGTAAAACAGTGTTGCAGGGCAAATCCTTGCACAAAGAAACAAACTCTTTAAGCACCTTCCCAGTACAACTGTAACATTAAGAATGGATATTTTATTTCCCAATGAAAAGTACTATTCATTATAGTAGCTCTTGAGAATTTGGCTTGGCTACAGTTTATTATTTCTATTGGTAGTTTAATAAAACTGAATTTAAATTTAAAAAACTATTTCATTACTAAATACAATGAGCATTCTTCATAATGAATCTAAAATTATAAAACTTTGCTGTGTAAATGAGACTCCATTCACCAGTCATGTATTTATATAGTCGCAAATAATACAAATTTAAGGAAATTTCACCAAATCACTTATAAGGCTCAAAGGTTTATTTCTGTTTCCCTGAAAGTTGTCTTTGCAGCTTCACATCCAAGGTCAAGTGACTTGTGCATGGAGTAGTAAAACCACTTCTAATTTTATAGCAATTTCAACTAGGTAATTTTCAAGTCTCCAGTCAACACAGGGCAGGAGCTCTGGTGGTACAGTGGTTAAAGCATTTGGCTGCTAACCAAAAAGTCCGTGGTTTGAATCCACTAGCCACTCCACGGAAGACAATTGAGGAAGGCTGCTTCCTTAAAGATTCACAACCTTGAAAAGTCTGTGGGGCAGTTCTCTGTTCTATAACGTCTCTATAGGGTCGTTATGAATCAGAATCAACTTGATAGCACTGGGTTTGGGTTTTTTTAGTCAACACAGAAGATGGAAAATTTAGAGAAGGCACTGAAGATAAATTTCTTAAGAGATCTAAAGGCTGGCAGGACTGAAGGAGCATTGTACTGTTTACAGGGTATGCTGTAATGGACGTGAGTGAATTGTCATTATTTCTAGGCATACACAATATGAGGAGCTCTGGTAGCATAGTGGCTAAGGCACTTGACTGCTAACCAGAAGGCTCGCGGTTCAAACCCACCAGCCACTTCTTGGAAGGAAGATGGGACAATCTACTTCCGTAGTGATACTGCCTCGGAAACCCAAGGAGTAGTCGCTATGAGTCGGGTCCAACCCGACAGCACACAACAGCAACAACAACACACAATATGAAGCAAGTAGCAGAGGTCAAATCTGGGATCATGGTGGCTGGCGTTTCATATTGCAGTTGTGGTTCTCAAGCCAAGTGTCTACTCCTAGCTGAACTCTGTGGAAATCTGAAAACATCTTGAACATTTCCAAATAATAAGAGTTTTGTCCAAATGGCGCTTGGATCTAGACTTGGCAGTTTCTATTCTTGATTGCATTGCTGTGTTTATGCTCTTCTTGGCTTTCCCATCTTATTAACTAGCTCTCCTCCCAAGGACAGTGAAGTAGAGCAGAACAAACTGCTGGCTAGGGCTGCTCCAGCTTTTCTGAAAGGCAAAGGGTAAGTTAAAGGCAGAGTGTGCCAGAACCCTGAATTAATGAACTAAAAAATGGAGATTTCCTTTGTCAAAAAAGCTTTGTGTTTGAAAGCAGTGCTATTATAACTCGACTAACAGCATCAAATAGTTATTTCTAGTAGACATATCTGTGTTGTGATTCACTTTCCCTTATTTCCCTTCTATTTTCCAAATGACTAAGCTGAAGTTATGATTTTCCAAAGGATGCTTAATCTTTGCTTGCAACTCACTGTGTTTACTATTCAGATGAATTGCTTGGCCATAGTGGTTTGAAGAATGTAAATCTGTTTTCTTGAAAGTCACTTAACCTAAATGGAAAACTTTAGTTTTCAAGTTGGTGAGATGGAATTGTGAACTTCATTGCTTGGATTTTGCTTGTGTTTTTCATACAACGTCACTTACTGCTCTCCCTTTACTTGCTTGGGTTTCTAAATGTCTTTTCAGTATCCTACAAACTCTTACCTGCTCTGGCGATTTCTGTCTGCCTCTCCTAACAACACCCTTTCTTTCCTCCTGCCCCATTTCAGGATACAGTACAGCCTCAATGTGGCAGACAGGCTAGCTGATGAACATGTACTCATCGGGTTGTATGTCAACATGCTCCGGAACAACCCATCATGGTTAGTGCAGGTTTGGCCACCTGACTGTCACTAGGATGGGGACAGTCTGATCTGGTGACAAGCAGTCTCAGCAAGGGACAAAGGCAATGGATTCCAAAGTGTCACTGAGGCACTTTTTCACTGATTCAATTAAAAAGTCTTTTTGTGATGTTACTTTGAATATTTCCAGTTAATGAACCATGAATTCATATCCATGTTTATATCTTACCTAAAAAGGTTGCCATGCTAAATAAATTCACGTGGATGCTGGACTCTGGGCTTCCATCAGTCAGCTCTAAGTGACATGTGTCTTGTCAAATTACATACTACGGTGATGCAAGAATTTGCCTTATTCCAAGGGCATGGGTGTCTCTGCTGATTTGTGAAACAATGCTTCATTTCACTTAAGATAGAAGTGAAAAAGAGGAAAAGTGATGGGATGGGACAACAAAAGGAAATCTTTTCTTTAACACTGATGACAATGGGAGCACTTGTCTTTCAACTCTTTCATTACTTACAAATATTTCTGAGTAACCATCATAATAAAGTCTGCTTTAAGGTCCCCAAATATGCAAAGCTCACTTTCAAGTGTGTTAAATCTAGGATTTCACACAGTCCTTTGTATTTGGATAAAGCCATTCATGAAGTTTTTCTCTTTCTCTTTTATCCTGAATTAGGAAGTTCATCCCATTGGTTAAAGTAGTTGATTTTAATAATAAATGTGCATTTGCAATTTGAATGAAAGTAAATGGAAGACCATGTTTTTATCATAAGCATGTTTCAACCTAGTTGAGATGACTATTTTAAACACGTTTGTTGTTGTTGTTGTTATATGCCGTCAAGTCGGCCCCGACTCATAGCGACCCCTCCTTGGGTTCCTGAGGCAGTATCACTACGGAAGTGGGATTGCCCAACCTTCCTTCCGAGGAGTGGCTGGTGGGTTTGAACCGCCAGCCTTCTGGTTAGCAGTCAAGTGCCTTAGACACTATGCTACCAGAGCTCCTACAAACACATTTAGCAAACCCTAATTCAAATTTTGCTTAACAACATTAACTTTCTTTTAACTAAGGAATTATGGGTTTTTGACAGTTTAAATTATTAAGTAAGCCAATGGCTTAAATTTTCTTTAGACTGATTTATACCTTCAGCATAGCTGGTTTCTTTTCCTCCACTATTTTACAAAAAAAAAAAAAAAAAAAACAGTTAACCAGTGCTGTCCAGTTGATTCTGACTCATGAAGACCATGTGGTGTGTCAGAGAAGAACTGTGCTCCACAGGGTTTTCAATGGCTGATATTTTTTGGGGAAAAAATGTCCATTCTTCTGAGTGTCCTCTGGGTAGGCTGAACCTCCAGCCCTCAGCTTAGCAGCCAAGTATGTTACCTGTTTGCACTGCTGAGGGATTCAATTTCACAAAAGCTCAATAAGTTGCTCAAACACAAAATGAATAACCTTTACTCCATGCTCATTGACCTCATCGCGTGGTGTTCTTGGCCACCCCTTTGTTTCTAGAACTTTTTCCTCCTCAACAGTTTGCAAAATTTCTTACTGTTCCTTGGAAGTATTGTTCAAGAGTAGTGCATAAGATGATTTTAAGTGATACCCTGATAAACCTCTTTTTGTCTTAATAGTTATATATTTTTCTTAATTTGTATCTAATATATATACATGCATAACTAGCAGCACACTAATTTTATACTATACCCTACTCTTTAAGGAGATAAAAATGCAGTATTCAGCGGACATAAGCTCACCTCTTTGGTTAACTTTTCCAAGCTTCTAGATCAAATAGTATCTCCACTCCCACAACAGAACCTCTCAAAACTATAAGAGGAAAGAGTGATTGCTTTAATCTAATTTCTGATAAGTTTGGTACCCCAGTATTGTATGGTAGGTGCAGTAGTAGAATGAGATACTGAATCATGAAAAATTGTAATGTTTAAGGAATATGGTCGATACAGATTCCATTATGTCTGAAGGCAATGATGTAATCTCACACCATCTCCTCCTCCACAGTTTGAAGCCCACTCAGTTATTTCCACCACTCTTGTTTGACCTTTTTCTTAATTAAAGTTGTAACAAAGAAATCACCAAAGAGAAAAGCTCAGGGTTTGTCATTACCAGCCCCTTTTCCCTGCTATACGTGATTAATCATATTGACTTGATGGTCACTTAAGACCATAAAACTGTCTCAGCAATGGCACTGCACATCTACTGATGGAAACTGGATGTGATTTGTATTTTAAAAACAAAGTAGAATTTAAGACTGCTCAGGAAGATGACTGTTTTAATAGCTGTTCTCCATAATTCTCATAGCATTTTTCTGTCTTAAAAAAAATTCCATCTTCTCTTTCCAATTTCTCATTTTCATTCTCTTTCCTTTATGTTTAATTTAAAAAAAAAAAAAAAGTCACTGCTGTCGAGTTGGATCCAACTCATAGTGACCCTCCTTAGGTTTCTGAGGCAGTATCACTACAAAAGCAGATTGCCCAATCTTCCTTCTGAGGAGTGGCTGGTGGGTTTGAACTGCCAGCCTTCTGGTTTGCAGTCAAATGCCTTAGGCACTATGCCACCAGAGCTCCCTATATTTAATTTGATCCTAACAATTCTTCACAGCTCTCAGGACTGTAGAAGTAATATATTGTTCTCTCACCTCCTGGATCCTCTTCATGGCTGTATTGCTTTATCCAATTATAGGGAGATACATAATAATGATAATAATCATAACAGCTATCATTTTAAAGACACAACATGCTAAGACTGTTAAGAGCTTGAATTACATTATTTCTTTTTTTCATTAGCGTAAGCCCAGGGAGTAAGTACTACTGTGCCCATTTTACAGATAAGGAAGGTATCAGTTTAGAGAGTTTAAGTGACTCTTCCAGGATAGCACAGCTACTAAACTGGGGAGCAGTATTCTAACCATTCTCTCTTTCATCCCAAGTTCTTAAACACTATTCAGAATGATCAAAACTCAGTGAAATTTGAGCATAAGGTTTATTCTGAGTAGCTGTTCTATATGCATATAGGGAGACCATTTTGATTTCCAAAAAAGCAGATGGCTCAAAGAAGCTAGGTGCAGGGAGGCTTATAAAACGAGGAAGGAGATGTATAAAAGAGCAACCAGTGATTAATCTTAACATGGTTGATTGAATTCTGCCCTCCCTCATTTACTGAAATAAATGTACATGGGGTCACAAGATGGCGTCTGACCCTCTACCCAATCATTTTTTAAAAATTCAAATTTAGTAAGCCAGCTTTAGAACAGGAAAAAAAGGATTTGTGACTTTGAGTGAAAGAAAAGCCACTGGCAGTTTAATTTTGATCAGGAATTTCTTTAAAATAAAGAAGAGCCTAAAATCAAAACAAGATATCTGCTGTCAATCTCTATCTTTGAAAGCACATCAACACTTATAAAGCCACATAACCACATGACCTCCAGGAAAACAATAGTTATCATCAAGTCATTTCCTTCAGGGCAATTCCATGTGTTTCCAAGTAGAACTATGTGCCATAGGGTTTTCAGCATCTGTGACCTTTTGGAAGTAGGTCACCAGGACTTTCTTCTAAGTCACCTCTGAGTGCATTTAAACCACCAACCTTTCAGTTAGAGGCTGAGTGCTTAACCTTTGCACCACCCTAGATCCTACTTTATTGTTTTCCTTCCATTTTTAATAAATTTTGAGAGCACATTCTAGTAACAGGAATGTTGGTAGCTAATAAGTTACTTTTCATGTATTTAGTTCCATGTGCTGTAACTGCTCATTTAAAATGTAAGCTTCAAAAGGCTGAGAATTCTGTCTTCAATCAGTTTTCTCTCATCGTGACAGTCATAATGCAAATAATGATTTTATACTTCTAAATCATTTGACAAATTACAGGGCCTTTTCTCACACATGATTCAGTTTGTTCTTCATACCCTATAAGGTCAGGTACTATTATTTCCATTTCACTGATAAGAAAATTTGAGCTCTGAGACATTCAGTGACTTATCCAAGGTCACATGCTGGGAAGGGCTTGCACACAGCTCTTCTGACACCAGATCTCATCTCTTTTCCAATCTATTCCTTGGTCTCCCTGTCAATGTGTCCATCCTGATGTGCTCTGCAAACAGGAACCTAGTAGCTGTTCTTGATTAAAAGCTTATTTTGGTAACTGTTCATATATATTCAACATTACTCTATGTGGGCATCTTCTACCCTAATCTGGAGTCCCTGGGTAGTGCAAACAGTTAACACACTCAGCTGCTAAGGTTGTTGGTTAGGTCTACCCAGATACTTTTGAAAAATCAGCCAATGAAAACCCTGTGAAGACCGTTGTACTCTGGCGCAAGCAGGGTCACCATGAATCAACATCAACTAAATGGCGACAAGTTTAGTTTTGGTTTTTCTACCTGATATGAAGGAACATTGGTGGTACAATGGTTAAGCACTCAGCTGCTAGCTGAAAGGTTTCCGGTTTGAACCCATTAGCAGTTCCCGTAAGGATCCCAGCATAGAACCACACGGGGCTGTTCTGGTTTGTCCCATGTGGTCACTATTAGTCAGTCAACTCACAACAACAACTGCAACCCTATTTTAATTACTTAGCACTATGGATACCTGACTCATTTTTAAATGATCTTCTGCTAAATTAAAGAAACATTTATGTGTCTTTCATGATTCTGATGTCGGATGAGCTAAATAAACAGCAGCCAAGGAAGAGTTTGTGCTGCCTTCCTAATTCAGTGAATTAAAAAGCCTCAATGATCTTCAAATACCTTCTCCAATGGAGGAGGTTGTTGTGTTGTTGTTATGTGCCGTCAAGTCAGATTCGACTCATAGCAACACCTCCTTGGGTTTCCGAGGCAGTATCACTACGGAAGTAGATTGCCCCATCTTCCTTCCGAGGAGTGGCTGGTGGGTTTGAACCACCAGCCTTCTGGTTAGCAGTCAAGTGCCTTAGGCACTACGCTATCAGAGCTCCCTAATGGAGGAGGAGGGATCTCAAAATATAACACAATGAGGCCTTTTTATGCCCTCC